AGCTGTTTCAAGACTGGATGATACGCCATTTGAATTACTATGTATATCGTTATAGGAGAATTCTGGAAAGGATTCACTAATTTTAGGCATTAGAAACGTAGGTCGATACGTGTTCTCTCGTAGAGACTGTTTAAATGTACAAATTAACTGGATAAATAGTGCTTCATAGCGAGTTCTTCGTTGCTTGAGAGACATACACTCGTGGTTTCGTCGAAAGACTAGAAATTATGTTCGCAGCTTTGTCGCCGTTTTCATTCGACGAGTTTGCTTTTTAGGTTCACCGGTCGTTGAATTTGCGTTGAATCCGCTTCATTTTCGAATTTTGCCGTAGCCCGACCGTTTACGTCCGTTACGTTCAGTCTTATTTTTCGTTCAATCTGCGTATACGAAAGGCCGCTTTGTTCGTAGTCTTATAACCTGAAAGAGCGAATAGAAAAAAAAAAAACTTTATCAAAATATTTCAAAAACTACGTGTGAATATACTTGTAAGGCTCAACGTGTTGTATTACAAGATGCAGATTTATACAAGTCCGTTTATCGTGTTTTTCTTTTCTTTCTTCCCGATCCCCTTATGCCCTATGAGGCATAAATTAATTATGTTAGTATATATAGTATGTTAGTATAATATATGTTAGTATATATTATGTTAGTATGTATTTCCATAGTTAATTATGGAAAAATCGATACAAGAATATAGAATTGAAAAATAAAACCGGAAACAATGTGAGAACTGAAATGGAAAACAGGTAATAGTCATTCGGAACAAAAGTTCTTTATAACCATTCTAATCAGATTCTTTAGAATTATAATGATCAATAATATTGATGATATTACAACAAGTTATAACTTCGTAAGAAGCAATCATACAGAAATCTACTTGATCTTATTTTAAAGCATGACGCTTTTACTTTTACTTTCTACTGTCCTTCGTTCTTTCAAAAACGTTTTTATATCATGCAGCAAATAGAGAAGTAAAGATACTTTTATTCTCGAAAACTGTAATAAAAAACGTCTCTAGAACATTTTATAATTAGATCCTTTATGTTCATAAAAATTGAAATTACCGTTTTACAATGACTCCTTAAAATTTAGAAATGAATTTTCTTTTTACCATTTTATTGAATTTTGAACATTCAAGATTCAACAACGAAATGCTTAGAATTTCTTTGGCTCAATAAAAATCGTACAATAAGTTTTGATAGATCGTTGAGAAAATTTCAATTTTATTAAGAATAAGTTTGATAAGAAATCATCTTTCTAATTCAATGTATCAATAATGCGAATAAAGAACTAACTATTATAGTATTTCATTTACAATTATAAGAAGTAACAAGAAATTCTGTAAATTTGTAATTTTATAAGAAAATTTAGTTATAATTAAATTTATCTTCAGTATTATACCAGTATTATATAACGTCACTATAATAATATTATATGTGGTGCAGGAAATGGTAGGCTGATCAAATGATTTTTGAAACGTAGAATTTCAGAAAGCATTAAATATCGTAAAAAAAAGAATGCGATAAATTCCTAAAAAATTCATTTATTTAGAATTCACTGTAAAGTGAATCATTGGCTCACAGAAGAGTCTTTGTACAAAGAGTTGTCTTTTTTTTTTTATACAAAATATGACATATCTATTTCCTAATTTTTATGTATAACGTACCTGGCTGAAGGAAACGTCGCCGTCTTCCGTTACATCGAAATTACAATCGGAAGACGAGACGAATACAAAATAGAAATTAAAAACTGGAGAGGCGTAAAAGGAATTCTCTGGAGTTGCGCGAGCACGAATATCGGATAAATCAGTTCGCTCGTGTCGACGCATTTTTAACCGATTGACATCGCCCCATGCTCGAGGAAACGCTCGTTCGAGCGATCGACCGATCCCACACGGTCTCTAACAAAATTGGGTGACTGTACAGTCGTGCGTTTCAACGGGCATGGCACGAAGGCGTGAACATCGAATTGGGAGCAGTCTATCTTTTGATTATGAGGCGCAATCGTTACTTCTTTTCTTGTCCTTTCGCGTGAGTATTATTTACACGATCACTTAGCGGCTAGGCACCCGTTTCGGGCTTCTCTATGTACAAACAAAACGAGTATTATTTCAGCTATCGATCGGCCGACGATCGAAACGGCAAGTAACAGTCGTACATCTGTCTTTAGAAAAATATCGAGCAATCGCCTCTTTTTCGTACGTTGAAAATATGTTATTTGCGTTAGGATCATTACGCGTGTACAAGAATATCTACAAATGTTCGTTTCGATGCTACAACTAAGACGTGTAAAAGAGGCGTTGGTTTATCACGGAGGGAAATTAAAAAGGAAAAAAAAAAAAATTTGCACCCTGACACCTTCGAGAATCCCTCCCGGTCGAAGATCAGTCAGCTTAAAGTCTTTACTTTATACACACTGCACACTGGAATCACACGAAACTGAGTCGCGCCGATTGGAACGTTCTCTAAAATATCGCTCGCAATTCTCGAATCGATCTTACCGATTGTACGCGACAACACCGATTTCAAAGTGTAGAGGGACTAATGCTAACATCTGAAGGCAACACGACCGCAATTTCGAGGTGCCGTTAGATCCTCAATTCGGCGTCAGTGACCGGAATACCTCTATTGACGCTCTGGCTGGATCTTTGGGTGGCAGGTGGCACCAAAGGACTGATACTAGGGCTTCTGGTGGCGAGAGGGGACAAGGACGGGGAGAAACTCGGGCTAAGGGCCGCCGATGGAAATGTGGAAGCGTCGTGACTGATCGGAGATCTCGGAAGGATTCCCCTAGCTAATGCGGGAGCCGCCAACGATCTAGGAGCAACGGAAGTGAGCAATGGCGGCGGCGGAGCTTTATGTACAGACTTGGTTTTCCCGCTGCTGCCCGAGTTCCCGCTTTGAACGCTAGCAGCGTCGTCTTTCAGCCTGGCGATTTCGCTGAACACGTGAGCAAGCGGTTGATAGTGGGGGCCCCAATCGAGCAGATAGTCCCAATTGTACGACCCTGTCAGTTCCTCCTCGCTGTGCACGATGGAACTCAGCGATCCGTTCATGGACGGACCTCCAGGAACCTCTAAACCAGATATCGGCCTTCCTGGTTCACCGATTTTCCCGTAAATCAGAGTGGCGATGTCCGCTTCGGTGGCGGCCTCGTCCTCGAACAAGTGCAAACTGTCGAGAGGCAGTGCCTCGGGCGGTCTTCTCGGAGTACCCGCTGGAGGATCGACGATCCCCAGCCTGGCCAAATATTCCTGAGTATTGTGAACCGACAGATCGCTAGCCGAGTCCCCAGTCTGCTGGCCTTCGTTGATCATTCGGATCTCCTCGTCTTCTCCGTCGTCCTCGGCCGATCCCCTGCCAGACGAACCGGACTGATCGCTGCCAGACAGTTCGGAAGTCGCCTGTTGCTGTCCAGATTGGCCGGAGGTGCCGTATGGTGGTATCTCGTCGTATTTTGGCGGTGCGAACTGACAGGAAGCAGCACCTCCACCGCCGTTACCGTTCCCAGTACCGTTTCCTCCTGCACCCACCACTCCGGCGACGCTTCGGATCGGTATGGTGTCGAAGGCACTCGGATCCACGTAGCTGTTTGACGCGGTGGCGTTACTATCTCCATTTAAACCCGGTTTTGTGCCAGGTTTCTTGTGTCTTCGACTTCGTAGATGAAGATAGAGGAAAATGGCACCGAAAGCGACGACCAGAAGAAGCAGAGCGATCAGCAAACCCAACGCCCAATCGGCCAATCCTCCGGTCGCTGCGACCGCCATGTTAGATCCAACATCGGTTGGAGTAGCCAGAGCTGTCGCGCCTTTAGCTTTGCTCGAGTCACTGTCGTCCGTTAATGTGATTTCTACCACGGTCATGTTCGA